TATTGCTGATGTCTTGGTGCTCGTCGCAGGTAGTGACAACCTCTTAGAGCTACTTCAAGATCGAGGCTATAGGGTCAAGAAATCTGCAGACATTAACACCATGCTGGGTTGGTTCAAAGACAGGGACGGTGAAGTTCGCTGGGGTATTGAAGTGGTTGGTGGAAGAGCTGCGGTTGAATGGGTAGAAGCGCCGAAAGCAAGGAATGAGAGTCCCGAAAAAGGGGCGTCTAGAAGACCGCTGTTTCCATGGAAAAGAAAGCCGACTACTTAGGCCTTAGGTCTTATATGTAAACTATTCTCAATACTATAAAAGACTACTTCAGATGATCTGCTTTTCTATGTTCGTCAAGGTCGTATTGAAGGTATCGCCCACCAAAACAGCAATACGTATGCGCGTTTTGAATTGTAATTGCATTGCCCTTGTATTAAGTAGAGATATTGTAACTTGGATGGTCGCACAGGTTAAGGTCTAAAAATTAAATTTTCAATCCATGATATTACTTAGACTATAGGGCCCAGTCTCAACCTTTTTAGGGTGATATCTAGATTTTGGCGATCATTAATAGCATAGGTACGCCGAGGTCTTTCAGGTCCCAAAAGAATGGTGAGCCTAGGTATTGACATGCATGCAGGAGTTGGTAGGTACTCAATACAATATTGTAAAATATGCTCATGTCAGGTACACGGTGTGAGCAAGGGAAGTGGAGATTGGGTCCATGACGACAGTTGTGGGGCATAACTATCGACTCCACAACTGCGATTTATAAGACTTTAGACTATTGAACTACTGCACGATGAGGCAATACGCCACCCGTCTACCATGCATACACGAAGCAGGTACGATGCTACGATGTGCGGTTCGATAATCGAACAACCATGGAGGGGACGATTGCCAATACTAAACTTCGGTACGCAATCTCACGGCCGACTGAACATGTGCGTAAATTCAAAATGGCTTTGAAACACTAAGCCTCTCCCACATCATTCAAAGCGCCTGGGGTTCGTAACGCATATTAGCAAAGTTGCACATCGCGACCGACATCCCATTAGACACCCATGGAACGCGAGCCAGAATGCACAAGTTTTCAGACCATGGAGATCACACGTGAACTTGCAATCGTAAGGTACAAGTGGGGCTCTCAATCATGACATAAACCAACGTGTTTGCACGGCCTGCATGTTGTCAGTGTAGCCAAGTCACGGTCCATCCATGACCGATGTTGACGGGTTGACAGTTGTCGGAAAATATTTGTGCATTCGTGCACAATCTTTCAACGTTAGAGGGCATTGCTTACAGAATTACGGCTACCCAAGCATATTCGCTGATCATTGATGGTCACAAGCAGATCGACTGCGAACAAGCATCACGGTCGTGACGATCAGTTTACGTGAGCTGGACCGTTCCGCATGCTCGACCGTTAGCACAGTATGTACGTACAACCATTCAGTATGTTAAGAGACGGAGCGCCATGAGCACATACAACAGGGGCAGCTACTCAGGCAGTCAGGCATTGAGCTTGTTTCATAATCCGACCTCAAGATTCACGGTTGATTGATTTTCGTAGTCCTCACGAGGTGCATACGCAATGTGTTTCGCAATTGCAGTCCAGGCGCCCGCACGCTACTAGCTGCGCCTTCTGATGACGAAAATACGAGGAAGCAAAACGTGCTACGCACGTAGAGTCGATTGGCACCGATATTGTACATTGAATAGTATTATAGTAGTAAGAGAATGGGTACCAGAGATACATAGGAAATACACTAGACTAGAGGGTCTGAGCAAAATGCCCGTCGAGAATGAGAGAATAATTTAACATCCCTGGCAAAAGCGATTCGATGAAACAAGTATATCCCACTAACCCAGATGAATAGAGGCCAGAACCCCAAAGATAATATAGTGGTCGTTACTTCATGAGAATTGAAATTAAAAGTGTGTTAGAGAACGTAGCTGCTGAGACACAGAATCCCCAGGTGACGCACCCCTTGGAACCACAACCTCAAGAGCGTGCATGATGTATGCAACCAAGCCAAACGATCCCAATCAATAACGGGGAGGCGCTTCGATAAAGAAATTACATAGTGAAGAATATATTGACCTGCGACGCTGTCTGCCTCTTTCATTACGGATGTTGAATTAACCTTTGTCTCCTGTCCCATTTGTCTTTACTGCACATGTGGTTAAACAGGTATCCTGAATTATAGACGTTTTAAAGTGTCGCCGAATTAGCTACTAAGGATCCTGTTGCGGAAAAAGGTACAAGAGCACTTGAATTTATGCGTGGAAAACTTGGTGACGACGGCCGTGCTCGTGCCTCTTAGCGTTAACATATGCGGTAACGTAGACGATCTCCGTCTTGACGATACCGGGTGCAGACGGCGAAGGCGTGGGTGTGGGCGTGGGTGACGGAGTAACGGAGGAGCTATCAGCGGCGGAAGTAGACGAAGGCGTCGCAGAAGACTCGGGTTGCTTCGAAGATGACGGCTTGGGCTTAGGGGTGGAATCGGAGTCCTTGCCGGGCGCTTCGCCACCACACAGGTAGAAATCCATGTTTCCGTTGGGTGTGCATGTCTTAGTCTGCTTGTCATCGGGAAGGACGTAGGACATTGTGTCGCAAGTAGCCGCGTCGTCGCAGGAAAGAATAGGGCACCATGTGTTGTCCGCGCCTGCCTTCTGTTTGCCAACTTGATTGCCAGCGACGAGGTAATATCCATCTTTTCTGGCTGGGCAATCCATGCCTCCACAGTCTACGTAAGAAACGTCGAGGTAGTTTCCACCGAAGGACTCGGACTCGTCGATAAAGTACTCCAATTGTGTAATGTCGGTTCCCTTGCACTCCATCGACTTGGAAATCTTGATGGAAACACCAACGCCAGTCGAAGCGGATTTGAGGTAGTTCTCGGCATACGTTTCACCAGTTTTGAGGACAACTGCCTCATCGTCTGGGCAGCCATCGCCCTTGAAGACAGACCAGAGATAGACATCGTAGTCGCAGCGATTGATAATTCGGGTATGGGGTTGATCGAAATTGCATTCCTTGTTTAGCGACACGGCGCTCCTCGCGGAGGCGGTTGCAATAATGGCGGAAGCAGTCGAAAGGAAGGTAGTGAGCTGCATTGTGAATTGACTCGATCGGTATATGGATGAATGGATAGATGCAGACTTCTACAATAACGACCGAATGAATGTGTGCTGAACACCTAAAAGAGTGAAGTTATTCAGCGAATGAACGTGGGTAGGCAACGAGGTGCTAACGGCACGGTAAGGAAAGACTTTCGGCCCTGGGGGGTGCATGAGTAAATACGTGGTGACCAGGCCCACTATCAACATCACCCGCGACGGAACCACTTGTCGCCATAGCGTGAGCTTGTTTAGACGGTGCCAAACGCGTGGCTAGTTCGGAGGACAAGCACGGAACAACACTGCATCCCAGGCGCATTTTGCCCAAGTAGGGCACGGAACGGCCCAATCGGACCTGAACCATGTAAGATCATCAGGGCCCTTGGTATTGAACTTACGACCGTTCAACCACCTCCCATTGGATCAGCCACAAAGCAGATTGAATTAACGCAGGGATTTCGCCGATCGAGGTCATTCTCTGTCTGCACTTGCTGTAGAAATTTCCGGCGTGAACCATGGATACAGCAGCTTCGGCACGTCTTACTCGACAGACACAGACGCGCTGCCATGTTAGCTAATCAAGGCTGTTGGGTGAGAGGTGTTCACATCGCATAAGAGTCGACTTCCAGCATTCAATTCAGTTGCTGTTCGAGGCATTTCCGAGATGAACCCACTTGGCAGCCTCAGCCACTGCCCAAAGCGAATCATTCACCCGCACCGCGAAAGTCGAAAAGGGGCTGCGCCAGGCTTGATCGGCCGTCCACGCAGAGTCATGGGACGATAGCAAGGCGGTATGCGACAAAATGCTGTTCATACGGCACTTGTCAAGCTCCTATCGGTGTGTCCATCTTCGCAATCCTTGTTATAGTGCCGGTCGAGAACGTATAATAAACAAGGCAGTCCATCGCTGAAGACAATTCAAGCCCCAGTTGTTGTCGCAATATTGCAGCAGACCCCATACTTTCCGCCACCCAGCCTCATCTCAATTCCCGCATTTAATTTCCCGCACACACCAACCCGAGACCATCCAAGGCTATAGGTGCAAGAGAAGGTTGATAGAATCGCAAATGATCAAAGTGCCCAGTTCTTGCGCTTGGCGGTCAGAGTAGAAAAGGGACTGCCATGATAGCTCCAGGGAGAGGAGCGTGGCGTTGCGAAGCGTGCGACTGGTGTGGTGATACCTTCGGAAGCATCTCTGCGACGCGACTCGTTTACGGGCGTACTATCCATGTTCGGCTATTGCAGGCGGACTTTTCAATAAGCTATGTTATTGCATAGTTTAATTCGTTCTTGTCAGGATAATCGAGGGAGTTTTGATGCTGCAAAGCACCTAGGTACGTGTACATGTGTACGTACACTACAGCCAGACGCGTTTGACAGTCACGTGACTGTCATTCGCAATACTTTTCACGATTCAACTACCCTTGATCAGCCACTTGTGCCAAGTCCACACACGACCGCCTTCTTATATTTCTGCCTTGCAAACCTTCTTTTTCGGCTTGTTCTTATACGAAGACTTTCACACATGAGTCGCCTAGTCGGATATGACCGCAGTTGTGCATGGCACAATTGCTTAGCACAATGGTGTCTCTCCAGGTCACGAGTTGCTCGTTGTCAGGGGCACTACATCCGCTAGTGCTAACACCATTCAGCTCTAGGCAAGTGGAACTTTGCCCGAAAAAAAGGTGATCTTTGAGTTGAGTGTCCAGGGCACGCCAATGCTACCTGTGGCTCGATGCAAATAGAAACTAAGCAGCGTATTCTAGTGTTGCAGCACAAGCACAAAGCCTTTCATGGTGTTGGTTCAAGGAGCAAAGCTATGCTGTAGACTTACACAATGACAGTATAGTACAGTACAGACCGAGCTAGTGGCTTCCTTCTGTCAAACATATGCCTTCCAGGGTCGCTCAAGCGACATCTTGGGATGACTTCGAACATCGGTGTGATTTCGACACTACTAGCGAGTAACTAGACCTCGTGGTCCATTCCAAGAAAGCCAACATGGAGAACATTTGATCTTTGAAGTGCCCCCAAGCAGTCCCAAGACCGTCCTTTCTACCATCGATAAAGCATAAAGAAAACATGATTACAACCCTTCCGTGACAATCAGAACCAACCTCCACGTCTGAGCGAACACAATCTTGAATATTCGTGCACATCTAGAAGCATATCCTTTGGAACACGACGGAATCGAGAACTGATGTCAACCGGCTGAAACAAGCTAAGGAAAGCACGAGCCTATCGTTGCGTATCTCTTGTGGCTCATCGTGGCTCAGGCAACCAACATTACTCGTATTAGAAGCAAGTTCTGGAATGGAAAGAATCAAGGTTCCATCTCCACGTTGTGGCGTTGACGGGAACTCGCGGCTTTCTGACGTTCAGGGGTAGTGGTGTTCTTATTCTGTCTTGTGCAGATGTCATTCAACAACTGTACCCGCTATTGAGTATCTTACCGTCCCTTCACATGTGATCGTCAGGTTACGGAGAACAGGCTGACGTTAACCTGAACAGATTGTGATCAACTTATAAGTAACCAAACTGCCTGAAGGCGTTCTACAGAACTGCTCACAGTGATATGACTCTCCCTTCAGCGTATATCTGCCGGTCATATTAATACGAAGTGAGCCTATCACTTGTTCACCTTTCTACCAGAAAGATCAGTTACAGGATTTTGTGTGAGTTGGACATATCATGCTTAGCTCGTAGTGGGATGTCACAGATGAAGCACAGCAGACAGTAGCCGCCGAATCCGCTCCCAACAAGTACCAAACAATCATCCCGCTCGTCCGTCGTAACGCCCTACCCGCCGAACTGCTGACGTGTCTCTCTTGCTCATTCTGTTGATTCCGGACATCAACTTTTAGTCTCCAGATGCTCGATGCACGTCAAGCACGCAACCATACCTTGAATATCCGGGCGTATTTATGCTGCTCGACTATAAAAACAATTTTCAGAGCAGATCAACGTGATGGCCTTCCAATAGCGGTATAGCCGAACCATAGACTTTCTAGGTATCGACATTGGTTTAAGGCCAGCAGTCTCAGGTAAAGGACAACAGTATGAGATAAGAGACCGATTGTAGATCCATCATGTCACGCTCAAAGATTATTGATTTACTGTCTGAGAGATGAACCAGAGTAAGGCAGTAATGATCAAGTGCTCGCATACATGATTTTAGTGGCGCAAGACAGACTTCCTACAAGCACGTGAGATCCAGTCCCACATATTGGTTGGAGAACTATCCGAGACTAACTGGAAAGAAGACCCCCATCGCAAGATTCCTTTCCATCTCGATTGTTCCCTCATGAGCTTACGTCACCAAAAAAGAAGAATGAGGATCTCCGTCTACGATGTCGTCGTGAGTCAACGCTAGCAAAGCCCAATACACACGAGCCGTCATCTGAGATAGTCTACAAAAGTTGTTGACTCGAGGGCTGTTACCGCGCTTACCGACCCACCATATCTAGCACCCCCTACTTGCTTGTACCATCCACACGGCCGCATGGTTGGCCCGACAGAGCGGCTCCAGGTACGTGGCGGCGCATTAAACGGTACAAGTACGCGCCACTGCATGTAGACAAGAGGATGCTCACTGGCCAACGACGACCAGTAACGTTAGAAATGCGACCGACGCTACTTCAACATGGATAAACGAGGTTGGGCCGCGACCACCAAAAAATCTACGAGTTTCGGCATATACTTTACAGAAGGGGCTTTACCCGCGGATGGGGATCGAGTCGCATGATCAGAAGATAGATGTTAGTGCGGCATGATTGTGAAGGCCAGAAAATAAAAATCCCGAAGGGCTAGGGCATGCGTATACTAGGACCCATGCAAGACGTGTGATGCAAGTTTGCCCTGGCTCGACTAAAGCACGAACCCTCGCCTCAACGTCACTCTTTTTGAGCAAACCATTAAAGTTCCCGCAGAGCATACCTTGTAACTTTGTTTTCCCTGATCCATCCTACCACGTGTAGGTACATCCTGGTGGAACTCAGGTTTGGCTGGGTGGCGCGCGAAGAAAAGGCATCGACATGGGTTCTTTTCCATTAGTATCCCATGTGCGCATTTTCCTATGCACGCAATTGCATGTCACATTGCATCTGCTCCACCTTGCATGGGCCAATACCACCGGTTTTTAGTAACCTTTTCGGTCCAGAACTCGGGCAAGTAGCGACAGGCCGACCCCATCTTTTTTCTTAAAGAAAAAAAAATTCCTGGAGGGCTGACCGTTAGTCTTAAAAAATGGAGGATCGGTGGGTTGTTCGCAAATGGGGTTACAAAAATTTCCAAGACACCGGGTTTGGCCAAGGATGACTACGTAACACTACACTCCTGTTCACCCACTTTCTGGCCCCAGTGGAGATCCTTCCCGCGCGGAGCTCAATCCGCTCGAGCATAATAGAGACGTTCTAGGCTTATGGTCTATGCAGCTATGTCCGTAATAGAGTGAAATATCGTAACATATCCCGCTTTTTGTCTTCGGAGTTCGTTCCCTTTTTTTGCAAGCCATGTAAGAACTAGAGAGCCGTCCCCGTTCCCGATGCTGACGGGAAAAGTCATAAGATAGAGAGAAGAGAGTGTGGGTGTGTGTGTGTGGAACGGCAACGGCCCGCAGCCGGTGAGCAAATGGGTACTCTGATAATGCACTTTGGAAACGGGCCAATTGTTAATTGCTTGCCCCATCAGCTCCTTCATGCATACGGGTCATATGTTGGTCTATACGAGCGTCACATTCAACACTGATCATGATGACGCTGACACTCAGAGGCACATATGCCAGATCCTCCATGAGATATCGCGATGCACAAGTACATAGCGTCATCCAAAAAGAAGAAAAAAACAAAGTTTATCCTTGAGCCCAACATGCTCAGCATCAGGAAAGAGGCAGCAAATAGGAGTATTCTTCCGCTGCCGGCTTTGCTGCAAGCCATAATTAAATAAGCAGCCTACTCTGGCCCTCTGAGGGCCCAGACGGGTACTAGGCGAACATCCCCTCGAGTTGCGGGAATACCGCGTTAGTCGAGGTATAATATTATGAGCCAGGGCTGAAATGCTTCGGTTACACAGCAGGATAACTGCCGGATTATGCGCAAGCCGCCTCTACCGCCACCCAACAGGATCGTGTGGGCTCCCGAGTCCTTCAGCCAAGCCTCGGTATGCCGATGTCAGACTGTGTGGTTAGATTCGGCAGCATCCGACCAGTGAGGGTTCAGGATGACGGAGTGTCGGTGTGCACTATACTAATGGGATTATACCGGTTGCCTTGGTTTCAGCCGAGAATCAGCGTCCGTCAGATTTCGACGTCAGGCGTAGCCTACACTACATGCATGCCAGACGGGTGGGTTCCCTGGAGTCCTTTTTCCCTATATGGCCCAGGCTATAAGCCTTTGGGTACTAGGAAACTTCGGTTGGAGAGAAGTAACAGCCTGAGACAGTGCTGGCATTATTGGATTACAGGTATTTGGAAAACAAAAAATGGGACTATTGTGCGGAAACCATCCGCGTATATCGTGCTCTATACCACATGCGCTAAGACTAGAATGAAGCAAGAAAGAAGAATTCCGACCAAAGACATTCCAAGAACCAAAATACAGGATGAAGAAACAAAGTTGCCCCATTACGCAAGTAAGTAAATGCATAAACTCATCAGGCTCAAGAGCTAGACCGCTGGGCTGCTCTTGGAAACAAATCTATACATGCAGGCAGCCCCATGTTTGCATGCATAGCCCTCCATCTACAATGAATTGCTTAGCATTACACCTGCCGAACAAGACGAGCTTTGCTTTTATCCAATCGCCAAACTCCTAGCGGGGGCCAAGAAACCAGGCGTATATTTGCGTAAATGGTCGTGTACAAAAAAAAACAGATATTAAAACCCGTTGGCCGTGATTGCCGCATAAAGCGCGCAAAAGCTCCTTTCCTCGCCCCCCTCCCCTTCCACGAAGCACATGATGTAAGAGGACTGGGCTCATGGGAGGGTGGCGCTAGAGTCGTTCCAGAAGGTTACAATGGTGAGGTATGGCAGGCTGGAAAAAAAATGGGTCGGGTAGTAAAGGGGTATATGTCGAACAGAGTGGTGAAGAAGGGCGGCGTAAAACGTGTGTATCGGGAGAAAGGAGGCCAGCGATCTATTCCCCTTTCTTGTTGATGGACTTGAGTTCAACTTCACTGTCATTTCGTCAGTCTTTCTGATTCGATGCCCTAGCAATTCTGCCGTAATAGTTGACATGGGTAAAAGGACGGAAAGTGAGCTGTGCGTTGGTCAAGCGAACAACGCAGTTGCCAGACACCACGAAGATGGGTGTTTGAGGCGCGGAGACTCTTCCAGAGATGGTAAAAGAAAAGAAAAATATTGGGTACTTACAAGATCAGTTTTGCACCAGCGGGGATGTGACCAGGAAAACCACTATAGTCATGACAGTTAGCGATTGTTCCGAGACAAGAAATTAGAGAGCTGCTGGTATCCTAGTCATGCCAGACCGGCGGCTGCAGCGGTATGTTCGTTTGGGGGGTACACAGAAAAACAAAGTGTAGAAGTTTTGTCCGGACTCCGAGCCTCGTGGCATGTGTCGGCCGCTTCTGCGGCCATGGGAGGCTGGTCGTTCGGTTTGATCCCACGGTCGGGCTCGTCAAGTATGAAGTTCACAAATTGGACTTACCGAGCGCCATAAGCATAGTCACTGTATTACACATGGTGTTAGCAAAAAAACACATGCACGTGGTGTACCCGCAAAAGCTACTTACGATGTGATTTTGAGGATTGCTACCTCACCCAACGACATGGGGGGAATATCCTCGGACCCCAAGATACCTTCATCCCAGCCTGCATGTTGGAGTCAGTTGACGTGCACACATCAATTTGCCATTTGTCATGTGTGGAGCGTGCTGGTTAGGATTGCAAAGCGCATACCTCGGATGACTCGGCCTGCGCCGATTAGAGTCGTGAGATCGCCCCGGCCTACTGATGTGTCGAATCTAGCATTTTGGTTAGCAGCATGCCCCAAGTCCCTGTGAAGGCGTCCACGTTGCCAGTCTACTTACTGTGTTCCCTTGTTGTCTGGTGCCTCGTCATCGTACAACCATCCTACAACCTTGGTTAGATTTTGGGATTGACGTGTGAATGCTAGCAGCAATACCGGTGTATTCAACGCAAATCTCGTCGTGCTTCTTGGGGAAGTCTGTGCCATTGCCTGGTTTGGCAACAATCTTCTCGACGCCCATTGTGTAGAAAGAATATGCTATGTTCGTGTGTGCGTGTGGCGTTAGAGGCGCAAGTATGTTGTAACGGGCGGGATGCTAGCGTGGACAAAAAGTCGAAAGTTGGTCAAGTTTAGATATGACGAATATAAAAAAGGAGCCAGAGGAGTGTAGAAAACAAGAAGTGCGTGAAGAAGTGGACAGGGCGAAGATTTAATAGCAGGCGCAAGGCGTGGTGATGATTTAAGGAAGATGCTCCGTGTATGCTTTGGCAAAAAAGCTTAGGCTCAATGAATGGCCTTTGCTTTGACAAGAAAAAAAGCAGTCCGGGGGTTTGCAGGACAACTATGGGATAGATTGGCCTGCTCCGATCCGTCCAGCATATCCTTTAGCCCCCCTTCGCATACGCATCCGTTCCACAGCTTCGGCTCGAAGGTAATTGTGGGCTACGAACCACAGCCGCCATCAGAACCTGACTGTCTCCCGGGGAATCCTACCCGACGCTCGAGCCGTTTTGGATGTCAGAAGTTTGGAAGGTTGGTCTAGCCCTTTGAATGCGTTCGTCATCTGCAACATCCTAGCTGACACGCGATGTGGGCTCCACATCTAACATGGTCGATGGTTGTACCCGTTCCTCAACTTTCCCGCGACTACCGAGGAGCATGACAGCTTTCCAACACCGCCGTTTGCCCTACGACACGGCGGCTGACCCTGCATCCACGCGGAAGGAAAAAAACAAGACATCCAAAATTACTTTTTGGGCCGTGGAGGGATAAGGAATGGTAGTAAGGACGTGACCAATTAGGATGGTGGGACCAAAAGGAAGCAAGGGTGGGGACAAAGGGTACCTTAGTGGGGGGTGCAAGGCTACAAATTGTCAAAGGCCGCGAGGTGCGGTGACTGCCACCACGAAGACGTCCTTCGTCGCAGAGAGCATGCACGGCACGACTCTAAAACCTTAATCCTGCATGAAGGAACGGAGGGATGGGCGCAAAAAAAGGCCGACACACTGTACCTCTCTAGAAAGTCGCACGACCTGAACAAAAAGGAAAAGCGCCTCTGAAGGCCGTAGGGCTAAGTGGTTGACGAATAAGCTACTACCGCAACTTGTATAGGATGTGATTCGGCAGCCAAACCCGCACCAGTGCGAGTCCCCCTGACTACTCGTAGCCCGACAAGGCAACCGGCGGTCGTGTAGTATTTTAGTAGACTCATCAGAGTGAACAAGGCTAAAACATGGATTTAGGGGAATGCAGGACCGTTTGCTAAAAAAGCAATGTTCGGTGCATTTCACGGGGCGACTGGGCCGTATGACTTACGTATACTAGACTAGTTCAATAAGTACGCAACCCCCCCATGGCCTCATGAATCCAGCGCTCAATGTCTCGCAGGCTGGAAGTGGTGACGAACACAATGGCTCAATCGTCATTGTTAGCATTGCCCCCCCATGTGCCGCTCCAAAATCCCTTTGTCGAAGCCGTGAAGCCAAGGGGCCCAACAAACCCTAATCATCTCGCGAGTTGGCATGTCGCTGGAGGGTTGCCAATCACAGTAGAAGCGGCAGCACTGCCGGTTGCCGTGCGGTGCTAGACCCACCCGGGGGAACAATCATGTTTGTAGCGTCTGGCGTTGCAAAACAGCCAAATGCGGAGCAGCGGGCTATCGTGCTTCTCGCGGCAAACGCGAAATTCACATCCCTGGAGGAAAAAAAACGAGGCACGGGTGGCGTGGGGCTGGAGAGCAATTGCCATAGCCATTACACGTGGTCTTTTCGACCGTGCCTTTGCCATGGCCTTCTTCAGCCCGCCTTGTAACCTTCGGACAAGACGATCTTTTAGCCCTGTGCGCTGAGTCGGGAGCCCAACGATACGGTCCGGGAGCAATCCACTCTTTGCATTGGCTAGACGAGGTGCGCTTGCAGTGGCGGCTGAGTCGTGGAGAAGTGATCACCCCCACGCATATGGAGTGCAGCATCGTGAACATTAAGCACGTGGCCAAAGTCAAGCTACAGCACAGGTGCTAAACCACTTGCAGCCAGGCAACAAATACGAGCCCATGATGGTCATCTCCAGCATGTCCAATGAAAAAGGCTGCGCATTGCTTGTAGTGTACTGTAAGTAGGTACCCTACTAAAACTACCGTTGCACAAGGTTTCGCAGGGCTATTGCTCCGGTTGTAAGTAGTAAGACCCGCAACGTTCAGCACAAGAGCGAACCCTCGTCAGCGGCGCACCAAAAGTCGGCCCATGACGAAGCCAACTTCACTTTGCTTTCTCCCAAAACGGCAACTGCACCAGGTCGGTCAGAGCGATGCTGGCAAACCGAGTGCCTTTGCCCTGCTCGGCCCGCTCGACGTAGTGTATGCGGTCGGTCCCTACAGTCTGGATGAAGGCAAGGAGCCGCGCATAGTTTGTGCCAACATGCTCGATTCCATGGCTGTCGTCCGACATGACGAACCCGCCTCGCATCCGAAGGAACATCTACAAACGAACCCCAAGTCAGTTCAACTTCGGCTCGCCGCCGAGCTCGGGCAGATGGCGGTGTGACTGACCTGACATATTGGCAAGCTCGGATACGGCTCGGCCAGACCTTTGCGCAACCCGGCAGAGTTGACTTCGAGCAGACCGCCATATGAAGCAATGAATTCCAGGTTGCGCTCAATCTTCTGCCAAACACCAGCCATGCCTTTGAACCCATCGTCGCGATGATCGCTCAGCAGACGGATGAGGTCCAGGTGCCCAACCACTGGCGGCCGCAGCGCCTGCAGCATCTCCAATTGAGAATCGAAATAATCCTCAAACAGCCTCTCGTCTGTCCCGCCCGCCTTGTCCCTCGCCTGCTCGTACGTCTTGCGGTCGTAGTCAATGGCTATCGTATGAACATGGTGGACAGAGCCCATGAAAAAGTCAAACGGATATTTTTCGCGGACGCTCCGAATCACCTCCAGGGTCGACGGACGAATCCATTCAGACTCGAAGCCAATCAGAATCTGTATCTGGCTCGAGTACTTCTCTCTCAGCCGGTTGGCCTCGACAATGAAGTCGTCGAATAGCTTGGCAAGGCTCTCAACCGTGTACGACTCAGCTTCTCCGGGGTAAAAGTCTTCGATTGGCCGGGGTATGTGTTCTGTTAGCGCAAAGGTATGGAAGCCTTTGGCTATGGCTGCCTGGATGACTTCTTCGAGCGTATCCTTTGCATGGCTACAAAACTGGCCAGAGTGGCTGTGATGTGAGTATGGCATGTTTGGGTTTATGTCGCGGTTGAGCTTCTGGGTTGGGAAAATGTAATTGTGACTCGACGCTGCACCAAACCAAGACGCGTTCTCCTATCAACGCCACCGGACTAAAGACTGCGCAACTTGATTCAACGTGACAGAGACGACCTGATATAGGTATTTTACGGATTGGCCGAGTATTTGCTAGCCGTGTCTCGCGTCTCTTCCCGCATGTGGTGGGCGTCGCGAACAGGAGCGTGGTGTAATCCTTCAACGCCGATTCGTCAGTTTTCTTCGGCATGTGGGTTGACATCGCCCCGAGGTATTTGATTACCGTGCCACATCAATTCATGCATCGTGGCCGTGTTGCAATCCGGGGTCTGGTTGTACCAATATTATTACAAGTCAATCTCTAAGTTTCAAGGTATACGAGAAAATTGTGAGCCAACACTGCGTATCCATGGCTAATCAAAATCATACTCTGATACTAGATGACCCCGCGTGCTTGGTGAAATCCGTCCTTGAGCCAGAGGATACGCTACAGCCGTCACATCTAGTCTACCAAAGAATAAAATCATACTAGTGTTCGTATGAGAATCTAAATTGCCATTGGGACAAAAGCCGCTCCCGTCTATCAAGAGTATCGCAGCCATCAGCTATTCCAATAGAAGGGAAGAGAGAAAAAAAAAACCCTCAAACAGAACAATCCTTTGAAGTGTTTAACACCGTTGAGTAAAGAATCAAAGGGAAAAAAAAGAAAAGAGCAAAAAAAATATCTCCATATCTCCATATCTCAAACACCTTCTCAACCTGAAAACACCATCACTGTCTCCAACCCAATTCCTCCAGTCAGAAAAAAATGTCTTCCGACCCCCCAACCCTCTACTTCGGCTACGGCTCCAACCTTTGGCTGCACCAAATGTCCACGCGCTGCCCCTCCTCCACCTACCTCGGCATCGCACGCCTGGACGCCTACAAATGGATCATCAACGAACGAGGCTACGCCAACATCGTCCAAGTGCCCCCCTCCTCCTCCTCCTCCACCACCACCACCCCAAACACCCCCCAGATCCCACTTGCCGCATTGTCGTCTTCAACCCCCCACGTCTACGGCCTTATCTTCTCCCTCACCCCCCACGACGAATCCCGCCTCGATATCAACGAAGGCGTCCCCCTTGCCTACACTAAAGAATATCTCCCCGCCACATTCTGGTCCTCGTCCTCGTCCTCGCCCAACTCGAAAATCGACATTTCACTGCCGCCCAGCGAGACCGACAAGCCCGTTCTCGTGTATATAGATCGGAAAAGAGTTACCGAGGGAAAGCCGAGGGAGGAGTATGTGTATAGGATGAATCGGGGGATTGAAGATGCGGTCAAGTGTGGGGTTCCCGAGGAGTATGTGAGGGGTGTTATGAGGGCGTTTATTCCGGAGGATGATGGGGGAAAGGAGGGAGGGGAGATGGGGGAGTTTGCGAAGAGACAGGCTGCTGGGTTTAGGGATGAGAGTGGCGTTATTGAATAGAATGATTCGAGTGATTCTAGATTGGACGAGGAAGAAGTGATGCGAGAAGGTTAGTCAGAAATAGAAGAAGAGAAGCAAAATATTTCAAAGTCATAATACGACTACTCATTCATGACCAAGACTACTAAGACCATACTCTTGTTGACAATGAGATCCTGCTCTGGACAAAAGCCAATACCGAGACAATCTTCCCCTTCATGACACTGTATATATGTATCCGTTCCCCAACCTCTACCGCCCTCTCCAATCTCAATCAACACCCCCTAGGTCAACATCACTTTACAACTCTTCACGAGCCCGGCGGTAGCTGGCCTAATCACCACAACGCATCAGCTAAGGGGGGACCTAAAAGTCAGACGACTGGTGTCTACGCACCTCCTGTTCAACCTGCAGTTGCTCAACAACGGGTGCCAGCTCAGACAAAATCTCGTATGCCTTCTTGTGGTACTCGAGTTGGGCAGCAATGAGGTCAGCAAGGTTGCGGAGTGGTTCCGGAGTGTCGAGGACCTGTTTGTGGAAAAAAAAGAGAAAAAGTCAGTGCATGTATCTCGGACCAAAATACTTTCACAACTTACATTCTTCATGACACCAACAGCCTCCTCAGTCTGGCCAACAAACTCGTCCTCGGCCTGCTCAATCTTTGCTCTTGCCTCCTCGGTCAAGTCATCATCCAGGTTATCCTTCTTGGCAGGTTGGCCAGGAAGCGTAAAAGCAGGTCCCCTGGCATTGGCCTTGGTCGCATCAAGTGTCAATCGCGAGTTTTCAACAGCCTTGCGGGCGCGTGTGGCAAACTGAATGTTGGTGTTGAGCGTGGTACTCCACCCAGCCAGGAAGCGGCTCTGAATCTGAGCGTCCTGCGCCAGACGTGCCTCGCCAACTTTCTCACTAGCAATGGCGTACTTCTCGAGGGCAGTAGCGAGGGGGTCCTCGCCTGAAGATGTTTGCTCAGAGGTGAGCATGTGCGAGGCGTTCAGGGCGGCGCGGGCAACCGCATGGCTGAAAGTCTTGGGCTGGGGCTTTGCAGAGGGAGGGGCAGTAAGGGCCGCCTGAGCTTCGGCGGGGGAGGTGGCGCTCGAGAGTAGGTTGACCTTTTCTGCGACGGTTCGGCCGAGGTCGTTGAAGGACTCGCGGATGTTGGCTGGGTAGTCGTAGGCTTCGTTGGCGTATTGTGAACTAGGCAGTCAGGATATGGTTTCTAGACAGGACACGGGATGTCATACGTGACCTGGAGCATAGTCGTGTGCACCTTCTTCAGCGCATCGACTCGCTTCTCGAGCTCAATGTAGTCAGGGGGCAGTTGAGTCTGTCATGAGCCGTGTTAATGGTGCACTTTGCTACAGCGCGGATGCCCTCGTGAGATAGCACAGAGACTCAATCGGGAGGCTGCGCACCTTGTCCTCGACATTGCCAACCTGCTCTTTGACATATTGCTGTGTTCGGGCGGCCCAGGGGGTAAAGGTAGCGCTATAGCAACCGTGTCAGTCCAAGTGTTCCTATCTGATGCTGGGGTGCAAGTAAGCAGCGAGGGGGACGCGGGGCTGTACGTACGAAATGTTCTTTCCAAACGCCGAGATCTTGCCAAGGTTTTCCATTGTGGTGTAGCGGGGTTACGGTATATCGAGACTCTGATTGTGGGTGTTGTCGAGGGCGGGGCGTGGCTGTTGTCGTGCTCTTACGACTTTCATGTGTTCTCCGCCGCCGTTGCTGTCAGGGCGGCGCATGAGCCCTGCATTGCACTAGTCCTGTTTGGGACCATATCAACCTTTTGTCTGGACACGGACTCTTCAATGCATGTGTTTTTTCCTCGCTATATGGGTTGCAATGTGTATGATTTCAAACACACAGTCTAGAAAATTTACTGATTTTCGTCTTGATTCAATTCCCACAAAAGTAATACTCGGCTATCGAGCTGTACCGAAGTATGTGCTTCATGAAAAAACACCATCCCCTACTTAGCATGGGATGCTATTGTGAGTTCCGCTAAAAGATGCCTCTTTCAAAAAAAGACACATCGATGAAAGATCAGCACGCCACAGGGGAAACATATACATATTCGGCCCCACCGGTTGTCTCACCACCACTACTCTATAGCAGGGAGTGATACAGGAGTCATGTCGACTGCATGCAAATGCCTGAAACTGCATTGCTGACCAAATACAGTTCCGATCAACACTCTGCAGCTGGATGCGGTGCCATGTAAGAGGGAGGAGAAGTTACGTCAGGAATAATGTCCTTGATCACTAGAAACACAAAGCCATGGGTGATTAGTAGTCATCACATGCAAGCTTGAGACTAAATCCTTCGTCAATCCGCTTTTGATTGCTCACGGTCACTGATGCCGTGCAAATGCCTCACAGCCCTTCGTATTCCACAAACAGCGACAAAATGTGGAGGCATCTTGAGCCCTTGCGTCCAGACTCTGCGCATACTACCATCCGCCGCGCGAGTCATCCTCCTCATGCCCGTAAATAAACTTTCCATGCCCATGCATGTACATGATGCTTGGGCTCTCCGTACACGCAATCTGGTAGGTAGGGAACCTCCAACACCCGATCGCCGTCCGATGTTAAAACTAACGTGCGCCCCGGCATGACCCGCAGCAGTCACACCGCATAAGTGGACCCCACTTTCGCTCCGTTCTTCCTTTTCTGTAGTGAGCTTCTCGGGGGGATCGTAGCCCTGAGATGTGATACCAAGGCAAGCCATTGCGTCTCGCCCACGCAAGCCCAGTTGCACTTGCCAGTCAGTGTGTGACAGGACGCCTCTCGGAAGACAGCTCCGGCGGTACAACTCCGGAAGGACCAGAAGAGTAGAGTGTTTCAGGTAGAACATGTCCTCTATTGTGATATACACAGGCGCTGCATCAAGAGACATGGGCAGACTGATAAGCGTCTTTTGGTACCAACAGAATATGCGCCCCTTTCCCACCCCCCCCAATTTCTTCATTACAAGCGTCTTCATAGCGCAGGTAGCTTCACGCGAGTAAACCAGATTTACTGTACAGAGTATTGCTTTGGTACATCAGGCGAGAAGCTCTCCGCGATGGACGACTTCCGATCACTTCCGTAGCCTGATTGCCAATCTGGAGAGCCGTATGCAGAGCCTAAGCCGTCGGCACTGGTGACCGTCATGTTGTCAGACGTCGGCGAGTCGGATATGGTGAGTGAATTGAAAATTCCGCGCATCTCGCGCAAGTCCTCTGAGACTTGATCCTTTGGCGCTTGTGTACGGTCCTTGATAAAGTCCTTGATTGAGCGAATGATAGGGGGACACCCTTCGTCGTCTGGGAGCCACCAATCTGATGGCGGGGCCCCCATGGATTCAAGCATACGGTTACGGAGAACGTCAGAGTAGATGTATCTAGAGCCATGTAAGCATAATGAATCACGTACCCCATACTACCTTGCAGGTGTGCTTACCCCGATGCTTCAATCTTGGTAAATGTCCGACGAATCCGCTGTATGGTCCTTTGGTCCTTGGGCAGAAACAAGACGGCAATCGCAAAGCTGACTTGAGCCTCTAGTAGGGCGCCTAGAGGCGCATCTGGATAGGCGCACATGGCTTCAAACATCTGTACTGCTCGAAACGCCAATCTGTTGTACTCGGGATCTATGGGCTGCTTCAACGCCATCGACGACGATATGGCGTACATGAACTGGAGGCCCCATATATCCATGTACAAGAAATTCGATGTCCACAGTGGTCCGCCCCAAATAATGTCTGGTTCGTAAGGGTTGGTGATGTCGTCGGGATCAGGAGTTCCAGGGATGGTGTGAACCTTGTGGGTTGGATCCAGTAAAACTTCGGGAATGTTTTTCGGCAGGGATTCCATTCTTTCTTGAAGCGCGGGCAGTTGAGTCATGAACTCTTGAGGACTAAGTAGTCCCTTACCGGTCCTTGCAAAAAGATCGTTCGAGTCCTTTGCCACTAGCCGGGAATACGCAAAGCGCTCTTCGTATTGCATCCCCAAGTCGTCTGGGTTTTCTTTGACTTTTTGGACGTATGCTTCGTGGGCAGCCTCGTACCATTCTCGGCCCAAAGTTGCCTCTCCGCCGGATTGGAAGCCAACAAACAGATCGAATCGAATGTACCAAAGAAGTACCTTTGACAGGAAATCCGACTTTGTGATGGTCTGTGGTGTAAAGAGGCGTGTGAGCATGTCAAATGCAGCTTTCTGGTGGCCCATGAGATTGACCCAGTCACCAAGCATTTCCTAGTATCCTATTAGAAGAGTGACGTCAGTCCGACAATGTTGTCCTTACCTCTATGCTTGCCAGCTGCAATATGGTCAAGAAAGTAGCAAGACCCTGCTTCTTGTTCTTCTCAATTGCCATGCGCAGGCGCGAGACCGACTCGTTGTAGTACTGGAGGAATGTGGATATGCGACCGTCGGGCTGGGACAGGGTGTGGAAATATGCAGCATATCCCGCAACGGCATATTTAAGAGGCTCAAACTTCATGACCCAATGCATAAAATCGCCTTTGAGCCAACCACATGTGTCGCGCTTGAGGGAGTAGTGATGGACACTCATGTGGTTGCGGAAGTAGTTGAGATAGAACTGGAGGTCTCGGGTCGAGCCCTGAGTGGGCTTCGCGGGTTGCGCACTTCCTTTTCGGGACAGTGATGGCCGTACAGTGGGCGGGACAGTGGATGAGGCCTCGGTCGATGGGGAGACACTCTGGTCGAGGTTCGAGCCAGGAGTGTAAGATGAGTCGCGGTTGTCTTGGCTTCTTGACGTGTCGTCGTCGTCATAGTCGACGTAATCTTCTTCCTCATCTTCGTCCCTTATGGAAGGCAGACGTTCCTTGGCATCTTCTTCACGTTCTTCAGGCGACGAATGGTTATCGGCAGAAGAAGACTTTGTCGATTTGGAGCCGCTGCGGGTAGATTTCTGACTGGATTGTGAGTCGGGATAGATGCATTCGCGACCTCCCTTGTGACACCCTGGTGAACGCTGTCAGAAATCAAGCCCTGTTTTCAACGAGTCAGAGGCAGAAGC